GCGTTCAGGTGCCTCTCGGAAACGTGCCGCTGTTGTATTTATTTATTGCTAACTTAGCCGTCATAGGTAAGGCACGCTGACGGATAGAGCTGGGAAAGAAATGAGCTGTTGGGTAAACGCTGAAGATTGAGGTTAGAAACCAAGGTAATTGACTGGTTTCAATTTTACAGTGAACGAAGATCTCAATCTGGCGCTGCTTCCCCCCCCCCCCACACCCCGCATGGTGAGAGTGTTAAGTGAGAATATAAACACATGAGCTAGAGGGAAATCCAGAGAGGGTGCTGCAGGGTTGCCGGTAATCCAGGGATTACTGCTTGGTGAAACTCACGGTCCCCACGTTGCAGGCACGTGTGCAACTCGGATCTGTTCGGTATGCACACAGAGATGGAAAGTATGTTGAACAAGAGATGGGTGGCTTTCAGGGAACGTGAGCTGGAAGAAAGGAATACGCAAAAGTAACGGTTAATAGCTGTAGCCAGCTAGATGAGGCATATAACTACGTACCTCTCTTTCATGTTTATTCTTCCTGCGAGCGGTTCTGCAAAAGATCAACTTGCATACTAAATCAGACACATAATAGAGTCTAGGCGTGTTTGAAACGTGGTTGAAAATGCACGTTGTCATTTCCCAGGAACAGAACAACCACAAAAAAAAAAGCAGTTTTTAAAAGCTTGACAAAATACTCTTCAGAAAATTTTGCAATGTAACACTCAAAATATGAAAAGGAGTTTAGGATCTAAACTTACTAGTATTCATTTTTAGTACTCGTGAAAGCCTTGTGATAACACAGTATTTTATCACACAGAAGGGAAGGGAGAGAATAGGAAATAAAAGGAGTGACATATAAAACTGCAAAAGGATTCCAGGAGAGTTTAGGTGGCAAAGTATCTATACGTTCTAGTTACCTTAATCCAAGTTCCCTTCGAGCCCAGACAAAACCCATGGGTTTAAGTTCTGTAATTTCTCAAGGATTTGGAAATGAGGAAATTCAAGCTGGAACACATGTTCAGAGTTGAATTTTGCAAGCTTCCCATAGTTTTATATGTGGAAGAACGCTGCAAACAGACACTGGAAAAACTTTGCCTTTTGGTTTGGACTTAATGCATGTTGTTGTTTGGCACTAAAACACTGGTTATCTGTTCCCCTTCACCATAAATAATGACTAGAAACTTAACCTGCAAGCAGGCTGTTGAAGTAACTTCTGGAACAGTTTCTCTTTCCTTCCCCAACCCCCTTAAGACTTTTTTTTTTTCTTACGGGATTTGTTTGCAATCTGCTAGATGAAACTCTAAAGCAAGTTTGCCAGATCTAGGGCCGCATCATCATTCAGCACATCTGGAAGTGGTTTATGGGCTCTCATTCCTTCAGTGCAGCGTCTGGACTCCGAACTGTTCCTCAGCAGCAGAGAAAGAAAAGAAAACCAGCACAACTCCAAAGTAAACTTTGAAGAGTTTGAAAAAGGAACTGAATTTTTAAAGCCTTACTGTGCCCAGTAAAGGCCCTTGCACAGGGCACTTTAAAGGAGGACGATGGGCAAGGAGGCTTTGGCAAGAATGCTTACAGCTGTGGCCTATCTAGGATCCAAGTAAATAGCTCTACAGCTCTTCAGGAGAGAGAAGTCCCGAATACTGTTCTGCCTTGAAGAGGTAAAAAGACTAATTAAGCAGGAAATATCTGAGCAGTAATGTCACTGTTTCTGAGCTTTCCCTTCTGCAGCTCTCATTTTGTAACAGGATTTGGCAGCTGAGTTAGGAACTGCCAGGTTCCAGGAACTGATGTCTGAATTCAGGAAAAAATTGGGGGAATACTCGCAGGGGAACAAATATTCTACTCTTCCCCTAAAAATCAATGAGTAATCAATCTGATCTGCTGAGACTTAGGAGCTTTGTAGTTTTGGAACTTAAAAGTTTTGTTTTATGAGAGTCTTTCTGGGTTTGGATTTTAAATTTTAAATATGGTGTAATTTATGTTGTTTTAATCATTTCTGAGCATATCTTGAAGCTCTGATCAACCAAGTTTCCTCTTGCAGTGACCCTCAGTTTTACTTGTGGTTATCGTTACAAATTAATTAAAGGCTGTAGGCAGCCCCTCTGAAATAAGTGGAAAATTGTTGTTAGCTTATGTGAGGTTAGAAGACTACTCCAAGAGTATAAAGGTTTCCGTTGTCTCTTTCGTTAGCTAAATGAGTAAACTTTTTAAACGGGTGAGAAGACGATACTTGTATACTGCACGAGAGAAAGATTTTCAAAACAGAAAGTTCTTTTGACTGATACCCTGATTTCCTATTTATACAAATTAATGCCACAGGAAGACAATGGAATGTAGATAAGTACTACAGATGTTAGAAGAAGTTCTCTCAAAAGTATTCTCCTTCTCACTGTGATTTAGTCATCTGTTGGGACACTTAAATATATGCAGGTAAGTGCTTTGTAAACAAAGTCACATCTTAGCTCTGTTATATTTTTGTTATCATTTAACTTTTTAGTCAAAGTAGAGAGTAATTTAGGATGCTCCCTCAATTTCAGCATTAACCAATGAGACTGAGTCATTTTTTGCGTCTCAGCTTTCAAGAATTCTTTCTGCTCCACTCTTACTGATTCCTTCTCAAGGAATCAGAATACACCTTATATGTGCATAGAAGGAAACACAGGAAAAAATAGTAGCAATGTACAGCTGCCATAATGGAAGGGTAGACCACACAGTCCTCCCTGCCCCTTCCCCTGGAAAAAAATGTTTATTTATTTTTTTTTAATCAACTTCTCACAAGTCTTTTTAGATTTTTCCTGCGGTTTCAGTTCAGCTTCTTAGTTTGTTGAAGCTGGTGAAGGTGACAACGTCAGAGAAATTCTGCTGAAACAAACTGTTCCCAACTGTAAGTTGCCTCCACTGCTGCAGTAGAGAGGCAAGAAAAGGAATTTGCAATAGAGCCTTCCTCTGCTGGAGGAACACTGAGGAATGTGGACTGGCTAAAGCTGCAAACAGAATTTAACCAGGGAGGTTTGGGGCAAGAGAAGGGCCGTGGTCTTGGCTCATGTAAATGAGAACACAGCTGTGGGAGCATTTGCAGCTGGGTCAGTCTGAGAATCCCTTTCTGATCCAAATGTTTGTATGTTCCATCTTCTGTTCTGTGTTTCTGTTAAAATTATCTTTAAAGATCAGGGAATATGTAGACTGCTAGTATTGATACAGCACAACAGCCGGGTGACCCATTGGTGGCACTTGTGCAATCAGCTGCATCCTTGATTTTGGAACAAGTTCATAGTCGGGTTTTTTTCCAGGTTTGTGGTACCAAAGAGCAAAAGGGAAATGTTAATGCTTGCTTCCAGAATTCAGGTAAATGTTGTGGTTTTCCAAAGTTCTGTATTTTAGGGATTATGTTCTTTCCTCTAAGGCATAAAGTCCCAGTCACTCTAAGGCCTTGTTTAGAAGTGCAGTTGTAGAGAAGGTTACCTAGTTTTCATCAGCATCACAAATAACGTGCCTAAATACTAGCCGCTTTACACCAACTCTCCTCTTACGGCTTCTATTATTGGAAGGAGGCTGCTGTTAGAAAATCTTTTCACTCTTGCTCTGTAATTTTCTCACAGCCTGAAAGACACTGCTGTAATGTGGGATTCTCATATGTTTGAACATCCCAGCATATGAGATGTAGTATTTGTGATTGTTTTTATGGTTTAGGGAGATCAGAGATAAATGTAAACATAATAAAATACCCACAGAGGCGTTTTGTAAATATTTCTTTGTACATTGTTTTAAAATGTGTTTAAAAAAATCTTAGTTATTACTGATGTAGATGATTTTACTGAATTTATTAAAAAGCTGTTCATTTCAACCTATTGAGTAGTTTAAGTTGAAATATATAACGGCTGTGGTCTGGAATATTAGAGTTATTTGTTCCAAGAAAACTATTTACAAAGATAGAGCTCAGTTTTACCAGGTCAACAGTAAAATTTGCTTAGACAAAACCATGTCCCGAAAATAATTAACTAGTACTCACTGCTGATATTCATAATTTTTCTCTCTTCCCCCTACCCTTTTTCTTTTTACCATAGATCACAGTTCTTTCCAAAAGAACCCATGGCTCTTTTAAAGAAAAGTAAGAAAGACTAAAAACATTTCAAATACTGATTGGGCTTGTGTATGTTTGCAACAGGACATAGATATTCTATGCAATTTCTCTTAAAGCTTCTGTAATAGTTGCATGCACGTTTATAGCTCTAGTTCTGCAAAATTATGTTTAAGTATACCATTAAGCCTTTTCCTATTAACCAGATCAGGTAAGTATGGGCTATGAGCCCATATAAAGCTTAAGAGCATTCACTGCTTTACTGCATGAGGCATATGGATGGACGTTTGCTTTGTTGGCTAACACCTCAGTTTCAGTTATTACTGACTGGTTCCTTAGTGTTGTTATCACTCTGAGGGGGAACGTTTGCTCCATAACTTCCGTTCAGTAGTGTCACAAAAGCCTTACCTTCCACTTGACGTGATTGTCTATCCCTGTATCTACATAACAGCATCCTGAAATTTCCCTCCAAGAGTGCAGTTAACTACCAGTTTCGCATGGGGTTGTGCCTAAGAGTGCTGAACTTGGTGGTTTTCGCAGAATTCTACTGCGAGTTAATACTGTTGACGCTCACAGTTAAGATGTAGCCCAAAGGAATTTGGTGTTCCCCTCAGCTGTCAGGATCAGTGACTGAAAATGGGCCAGTGTGTGCCTTTGGTTCCACACCCAGATCTTCACTGACATTAATGCCTGGCTCCTCAGCTGGTTCACATCAGTGTAGGTTCAGTCATGCACACGTACCAATTTCAATTTATTCTCATGCCCATGTCTGGCTAATTGGCCCTTTTGAGTCAAGTAGTTCAAAACTTTGTCCCTTTGTTCTTTTGCACGCTTTAAATGTGTTTATGATGGTATAAAAGTAACAAAGTAGTCAGAACCGAAGCACTAAAGTAACTGATGGCAGTGGTAATGTATTCCTTACCTGTCGTACTCTCTGAGCTGTCCTGGTGCATACTCAAGGTTACCCTAAGCTTGGACGGGATGGTCTGGTAGGGACTTGAAATTGTAATATACAGTAAGGTCTTTCCTTTCTGCATGTTTTGATTTTGCTATTTAAAGCATTTATGTCAAAATAGGTATGTGTTTTCAAATATTTTGGAACATACTTACTTTCAGTGGCATGCTGGGTTTATTTTTGTAGTTCTTTTAAAGTTTTCCTCAAATACATGTTGAAGATCTGAATGTTGAAATCACCCACGTTTTTTTTAGTGTTTGAAGATTTATCAAGGAATTGTGGGAGTCAGAGAAGGCTAGGTAAAAATAATTCTTGAAGTCCCATGGTGATAAACAGGCAACAAAGTAGCCAAGAAAAGAAAGTTCCACACCCCTAAGAATATTCACAAACATGTAGATTCCCTGGTATGGATAGCTCTTCTGTATTGGGTGATTAGTGATTTTTAGCAAGCAAATGATCCATGAAAATTAGATAGAAATAATTGCAGCGGGGGAGAGATACTGTTATGTTTCTAAGTATACCTTACAAAGGTTGTACATTTTTTGAGTTTGATCAAATAGCAAGAGAAAGGAGGATTTGATAAATGCAGTAAATACAGAATATGGTATGTACTGGCTGCATGCTTATAAAAATACAGGTATTTGGGCAGTTAGTACTCGGCTTTTATACAGATTGTTAATAAATTCTCCCTTTGTTTCAGTTAACCAGATCTTACTGTTACTTCTTGTTTTAACTGTGTGCGCCATTCTGTATAATAAAGTTCACAAAGTGCCGTCTTCAATAAAGAACGAAGCAGGTAAATGAATTCTGTTTCATTTATGTTCTTGTGCTTGTTGCTTCGTTTGAGCCGTGGTTTTTCTTAAGAATTCATGTTTGCCCAACAGTAGCTGTTGCGTATGGACTGGGATGCAGAACTTTTTGCTTCCAAATTCCTTGGTTAGAGTATTAGGAGATCCATAGTCACGACTAAGAAGTGCCATTCTGATTCAAGTTTTTATTCAGCTGTCACTGACGTAAATGTAAGCTGTGTAGAGCCTTATTTGTGCTGAACGCTAACGGAGTTTCCAAGTGATAACAAAAATTGATCAGAACTTGCCCCTTTGGGATTACGATCGGCCTCCCAGGTCATTTCAGATAGCTCATCAAGCCTCAACGTAATCTACAGCAGAAGGTTTTGGCTGGAATATTTATAGTAACAGAAACCTCTTAGAGTTGATACAGTTGGACTAGTATGGAATGTTGCGTTAATAGCTTATTCAACATAAACAAAATGTTGATATAAACAATTTTTATTCCATTATAGTTTTGTTATGGCTTTTAGGAGATTAACGGTCATGCTTCAACCAGTATAGATCTATCCCTGTAAGTTCTGTACTTTGATCACTGTTAGGGGGAAAAAATCTTTCTTAGCATTGCTGTGAACTGTTACCAGTACTGTTTCTAGAGATTTTTTTTTTCCTTTTTACCACTAGCAGCATCCTGCTAGTACAAAATTTTGTACATTCCTTTCTGGCCTGCTTCCCAAAGAAGTGAAACTCATGCAGTTGCGCTGTGTTCTCTGCTTGCTTCTTTCCCTTGATGGTTTGGGAGCCTGTTGTCCAGTTTGAACTAGATTTAACTGAGAAGTAGAATTCTTAAAGGTGTTGAAACTCCTATTCCTATTCATTTGTTGTGAATAAGCAGCTACATGAAGGACAGACTGAATTGTCACCCCTGCAGAGGAAAAGATGCAGAGAGCTCAGTTGTTATATGTTCTGTTTGGAGGCATTCCAGTCAACCTGCATGTAGTTCTGGATTAGCTACAGCTCATGCTGTGTGTCTTTCCAGATGGGGATACGTACTGGATGTGGTAAGGAAATAGGGTGATTGTGATATGATTCCACGGCTTATGGAACTTCATACTCATTCCTGTGAGCCAGATTCATATATTGTATAAAAAGATGCTTGATTCTCTATAATAATGTATAGTTTTGTTACTTATAGCCGATTTGGAGAGTCCTGAGGAAATGGAAGAAGAAATTCCAGTCGTAATCTGCGCTGCTGCAGGTAGAATGGGCGCCGCTATAGCAGCGATCAGTAGCATCTACAGCAACACCGAGGCAAATGTTTTGTTCTATGTAGTTGGGTTGAAGAATACCATCCCGCATATTCGGTATATACCAATGTTATCTCCTTAGGCTGTTGTTCTCCTTAGCATAGGCATACAGACTTGAGAGGACTTTTCAGGAAAGCAGTTCTCCCTCTTGTTTAAGTAGAGGTATTGATAGCCCTCCCCAGGGTCCCCTATATGTAGGAAAAGGAACCTTTTTGCCCTACTCAAGGCCCTAACTAGTGTACAGGGGCATGAAATAGCCAGACCATGGCCATACCTGTGTGTCTCTGCCGTCAGTAGTTCAGCTGCAGAACAGAAAGCCTGTAGTAAGATGATGGTGTATACAAGCTTTTTTTTGGTCACAGTCCTGCTTTGCAGCTCTGCACTTATCCCTCACCTGGGGCTGTGCCTTAATCTTAGGAGCAGAAAAGCCTGCTGCCTAAAGCTGATCCCAGGGAAGAGGAAGTGGTAAAAGTTATAAATAGAGGCCCAAAGTAGCTCATAACGAAAACATCTTTGAAGGGTAGAATTTGCAAATATTGTCTAAAAGAGGGTGAATGAGAGAAGGAAGGTGTGAATCAAAATGAAAGCAGAGAGTCTGGCTTCCTGAGGAGTTCTCACCTCTGACTTACTGCACTTATATAGGCCTCGTACCCATGGTTTCAGTGTCAAAATGAAAAGATGTAGTGAGTGGGGTTCCACAGGGAGCTTTTCCAGTCTACTTCATTAATAACCCAGATAACAGAGTGGAGAATATACTCAATGAATCTGCAGGTGGCACGAAGCTGGGAGAGAATGCAACTATACTGAAGAACAGGATAAGAGCTGAAAACAAACTACTCATGATGACTTCGAAAAATGAGCTGAAAAACGTGATGAAATTCAGTAGGGATAAAGCCAAGGCAATAACTGTAGGTAGGAATAGCTGATTGAATTGGCTCAGGGTTGAGTGAGTTGAGTAACAGTTCTTTGGAAAACTATGGAATTATAACTGTGGGATTACAGAACTGACTACACTGATGCAAAAAAAAAAAGGCAAGCAGCATAGTGGGATATACGTGTGAATGTGTAGCTGAGGAAATTTCCAATCTTCTTGATATGATTAGCACATCAACAAAAGCGTGGCATTTAGTTTGGTGTGTCTTACTTCAGGAAAGATTTAGAAGAGAGGATAGAGGAGAGCAACAAACGATGTGAAGAAATCTGTTAAAAATTTTTGAAAGAATTTTTTTTTTTTTTTAGTCAAAGGAAATAAAGTTTAGAGGTGATGTGGCAATCATCTTCAAGGATGTAAAAATCTGTGCAAAAGGGAGAAAACTTCTCTGTACAGCAGATAGGATAAGAAGAAAATGATCTTGAGTTGTAGCAAGAAAGGTTAAGAAAATAGTATTTAATGTTAGGGGTGGTGAAGGATGTGTTCTTTGGGCAACATGTGGAGTCTCTGTTTTGGGCAGTTTTTTTGAAGAACAGGTTAAACTGTTAAACAGGTTACATGGCTGTGTTCAATAGCTGTAGACATAATTGATTCTGTTTTGGGGTAGGATAGATCAAGTGAGCTTCCAAGGTCGCTTATTCTCCTATGAGTCCATGAATTTAAGACTAGAAGTACTTGCCACACTCTAATGTTCTTTCTTCGCTTCTTTTCCGTCACAGAAAATGGATTGAAAATTCTAAATTGAAGGAAATAAAATTTAAGGTCGTGGAATTCAACCCTATGGTGCTAAAAGGAAAAATCAGACAAGATGCATCGCGCCCTGAGCTACTGCAGCCTGTGAGTAAGCAAAGACCGTATAACAATTTTACAAGGTTTTAATGCTCATTACAGGCTTTAAAACATCCTAGAACTCTGTTCCATCGTAGAGGAGAGGTATGACCCCAGAGAAGCAATATCAGTTCTAAATGCTGAGCTCTGACTGAAAAAGGAAAAGTACACTGTAACAAACTCCTTACAACTTGTCTATCTTGTTGGGACCTCATCCGTTTGGTGGCGTAAACCTGGTGTTTTAAATGTATTGTAACTTTAAGAGTATGTTCACAGTTTATCAGAGGAAAGATCTGATGATGTTCTTTGTGCCTTCATCATGCTGAGCGGGCTGCGTTCTGCTGATCTCTACGCTTAATTCAGAGGCTAAAGACTGATCTAAATATTATTGGCCATCTGTAACCACAGTGGACTGATAGAATCAAGGGCTTCCAGCATTCAAGAAAGCTGCAGTAGAGAACAGAAATAGGCAAATCACATGTTAGAAATTATTAGGAAAGGAACTGATAACCAGAGAACTTCATTATGCCGCAATATAAATCCACGGTTTGCCCCTGCCCTGGACACTGTGTGCAGTTTTAGTCTCCTTACCTCATAAGGAGATAGTAGCCCTGGAAAACACTCAGATATGTTAAGAAAGTTCACGTCTCTCACTCTTTTCTGAACTTCTACATATTACATATATGGAAAATATTCCGTACAAGGAATGACTGAGTGGGTTAAAGCTTTTCAGTCGGGAAATGTGATTCTGAGCACAGAAAATAAGAGATCTACAAAACTGAATGACATGGATTTGTGAATAGTGGATGACTGCTCGCTGTCTCTTCCAATAAAAGAACTAACAGTCGTTAAATTAAATTAGTAGGAGTTACGGTCAGAACAATCAAGACATGTTGCATGTTTTTCATGCAATGAGTGCTAAACCGGTAGAGCTCCTTGCTGAAAGATCTTGTGAGTGTAAAGAATGTACATGGATTCAGTGAGGACTGAGATTTTTATTCAGTCAGACCACATCTGTTTCAAGAAATCCCATGAGCTGAAAATAGCTAAAAACTAGAAGAGTGTTATGAAGCAACTGTTCTCTATGCTTCCTCTGTTCTTAATTTTCTCTGAGCATGCGCTAAGGACCGCTGCTGAAGACAGGTGCTGGGTAAAATGGTCTGAATCAGTATGGCTGCTTTTATGTTCTTAGTCCTTTTTCCCTCTGCTGTATTCTTTAATGCTATTGCGGATATTGCTATTCTGCCTCTGTGCCACCAGTCAAATCCTTCCTCTAGAGTGGAAGGATTACGGGGTTCATTTTGAAGTATTTTGTATCAAGTATGTTGCAAAAAGCAATTGTGTTGGTTAGGGTCACAGCAAATAAAATAGGGAATAATAACGGGGTCAAGATACTGGTAAAACTGTGGAGGGAGGAAGCAAATGATAGCTGACTAGCGCTCAATGAAGCGAGAAACCAAAACTGTGTGTTCACAGAGTGACGGAAGCTTGAGACTACTGCATTAAACTGCTTTATCGTTTAGTCCTTACCTTTTTTCTTTTCTTCTTTTTTTTTTTTTTTTTTTTGCTTCATAGCTGAACTTTGTCCGATTTTATCTTCCCTTGCTTATCCAGAAACATGAGAAAGTCATATACTTGGATGATGATGTCATTGTGCAAGGTAAGATGTCATCCAAAAAACAGTTTCCAGCAGAATTAAAATAAAAGTTAAGCAGTTTACAGTCACCTGGCAATATGACACTGAAGAAATTGCTAGGAGCATTGCACTCTAGAGAGCTACGAATTATCTGTTTGTTTGTTTAAAGGAAAGTCTGAAGGAACATTTTCTCCCCAAATATCTTTAATCTTGATCAAAAGGGCTTGTAGGGGTTTTCATTTTAATTGAATTTGGTCAAATGCTGAGAGAGATAATACAATGGTTATTGTTAAATGCATGACTTTGGCTTTCCTGTTAGTATTTGAACTGCTGCAAATGTTAGTAGTGCCTTATCCAGAAGAGCTTGAGAGCAAGAGGAGTTTCCTCAAATAAGCGAGTTAACATTCTGAATCCGGAAGGTGTGAGTTTGAGCATCCTCAGCTCAGGCTCCATAGCAGCTCGCAGAATTCCGGTCAAAGATTTCAGCGTTCCCCCTGCAAGTGAGAGCAGTCAGAAGACATTCAAATCCTGAAAAATCTTTTTGTTTCCATGGAAAGAAATCTAATTAGAGGCACAGTAATTTTTTAAAGATGAATATCTTTCTTTCTTCCCCTTCCCCCCGCCAGCTTCCTTTCTATTTCTCTGGAGAGCTGTTGTCTTCCCTTGATTTATCATTTTTCTTTACTTTGACTCACTCCTGTTTTGCTGTTACTTTTATAACAACTTTTAACCATGGCAAACAAAACCTTTTGACATATGCTTGTTAAAGTGAGATTCCAATGAAAATTTGCTTTGATAAGGAATGAGGATAAGTACAATAAACATTTTGGCCTCAATCAGTCTTTACTTAAGAACATTAGGATCAATGAAATTACACTGGAGGAAAGTTTAATTCTGTTCTCCACTACTTCTCTGCAGCTTTCCATAGTTTCTTCTCTTTAGTGGCAGATTTCAGAACATCTGTACTTATAGGGGCTGCTGTTATCAGCTTTCTGAAATGTGATTAATCTGCTGTGCCTTGTCTTATTTTCGTTTGCAATAAACTTCATAATACAGTTACTTCAACATTAAGTTTTTGAGGAAGAATAAAATGGCTTTCACTTACACCTATATGTTTCTAGTGGTCACCTTGGCTTTTTGTCTGTGTTATTCTGTCTGTCAGCAATGGGTAACAGCAACATTCAACTCTTATTTAAAAAAAAAAAAAAAAAGTCCTTAAAGTCTTTACTTACGCTGTGATTTCACAAACACTTTAAGCTCACCCCCAGCATCCCTCCTCCTCCTGCAAAGGCATTCACCAGAAACGTGATTGCTTTTTGCTCCGGGTTAGTTCCCGGGTAGGATTCAAATCGGCATTTCAGCAGAAAAGCAGCGGGTGGCTGGGAGCAGAGGGCAGGTAGGGCGCTCTCTTTCAGTGGGGCTGTCAGCTTCTGCCGGTTAATAGCGTTTGTGGAACCACGGGCGAAAGGTGCGCTTTCACATTGCTGCTAAGGGCCGGCTGCTGCCAACGGAAGTGGTCTCTCCCGTCCCCAGGCAGCTCCTGTTACTTCTCTTGTGTTGTATCTAGCAGTTGTGCAGCTGCAGAATAAAGCTGATACAGCTGGTTGACCTGGCAGAAAACTAGCTGTGCAAAACAAACAAACAAAAAACTAAAAAAAACTTTTTTTTTTTTTCCTCCCTCTTTGCTTCGGCCAGCTTAACTAATCTCACCCTTGGGCCACGCAACCACAGGGCCCAGCAGAAGGGAACGAAGCTGGGCGTAGGGGGATAGAGGGAGGTAGCCTCTGTTTTGGCAGTGGCTCCCCATGTCTTAACTGTAACGCAAGACTGCTCTCTGTCAGATGCTGGTGGAAGTGAACGGGAGTTTTGACAGAGTAAGGACTGCATGTGGTTTTCAGATTTTAAGTCTGGGACTATTTATTTTTCCAGTCAATTGCTTTTTTTGCAAAGCAGTGAGAATTAAACATACTGAATCCCAGAACTGTTGTTTGATTTTTTTTTTTTCCCTTTTCTTGTAATTTATATTTTGCAAAGCAGAAGTTGCTTAGGATCAGGAGGAAATGCCTATTAAGGCATGTCAATTCTTGAACTATAAATAAGTGTCCCATTAATTCAAATTCTGTTTCTTGGCGGGGACATGAATCCTATCCCAAGTTTTTCAGCCAGCTGGCGAGTGGATGATTAAATATTCTCTGCTTATTTCAGGAATAGCATTTCCAGTATTTGCAGTATGGGAAATGTTTCCAGTTGCTAGTCCTATATTGAGGTTTTCTAGAGATAGCAGCTTTACTTTGTTGTGGCCTAGCTACGGGAGTGCTCAGCTCATGCTGATGGGCCGTACCTAGCCTTCTAAGATAATGAATCTTGCCTGTGACCCACGGCCAGCAGCAAGGCGGGGAAGAGCAACGATCATGGCTGCAGACTCCCTTAATTGCTGTGGCAGCACGGTGGCAGCGCTGTACTTCCCACATACCCAGAAATGTTCTGTCACTTCAGAGGAATGTGTCAGTCCGATGATAAGGAAGATGGCGTGTGTTATGTATCTCCCTGCATCAGAAAGGAGCTGGGTGGCCTGCCAAGCTGGAAGGGCATGGTCATGGGTGACAGGAACGTTTCAGCTGGCCAGTGTTCATTTGTCAGTGCTGGGAATCCAGGTATCTTGCTAGGAGGCACAGGCACAACAACAGCAGGAAAAATCTGGTCTGTGCGGGAGACTAAAGTGTTTTTGAGAGGCTGAAGAGGTTCAGAAAAATTGTCCGTGCCCTCCTTCTCCAAAGGTGAGCTATATGAATGCATAACTGTGTAATTAGGCTGCTTAATGGTGTAATCAGCTTTTTGCTTGAGCTGATTTTGGACGTTCGGTCCAGAACATGGATGCGTTAAATACTGATGATATTGTTTAAAGATAGAACTCAGACATCCACTTATAGGACTCAAATTGGAAAACTGTGTCAGGTAGCCAAATTCAGCCTTCTTTAACATCTAGGCTATCCCCTACAATTGGTAGGTTTATAAGGAACATGCATGAGAACAGAAGTTATCCTAACCGGTGTGTAGCAATGAAGCAGGCTTATTCTTATGCTTTTGACCTTTCTGTAATCAGGTGACATCCAAGAACTCTACGATACGAAGTTAGCTCCTGGACACGCTGCAGCTTTCTCGGATGACTGCGATCTGCCTTCTACACATGAAATGGTTAGAAGCGTAGGGATGCAGGTAAGACATCATTTTGAAATCCTGATCATGAACGTATTTACCCCCAAATGTGACATTTTACACACATTCTCCAAAGTGAAAAGTTTAATTTTTTTATTTGTTTTGATAAACATGTAATAGTTTTACAGGAGACTGAGAAGAAATACGTTCTCTCATAATTCTGTAATAATACCGTGCTTTGCAGAATTGTTTCCTGTAATAGTTTAGAGCTCGATTGCTCTTTGGATTCTACTACCTTTCTGTTTGGTATTTTACTAAATCCGTTTTGCTATCAGTGGATCATGAACATTTATGCAATGTCTAATGAAGACAATGTATGATATTTGTATGAGTCGAATTTGGAGTGAAGCTCAGGAAAATAGTGTTTGAAGGCTAACTCCCGAGTTGAATTCCCCAGAATTGTCACCGAGTCCCTGTACCATTACGCTGTACAAGTGTGATGCTACATCGTTTAGAGAAAGCTACAGAAAGACAAAAATGTGGTGGGGAAAGAGCCCTGTAGAAGTCTCACGGAGCAACACTGTTGAAAAAGGAAATTCAGCAGCTGTCTTGCAGTCTTGTATGGAAATCAAGATAGGTAATCATCATCCAGAAACTCAGCTTTGGGAGCTCGTATTTAGTCTCTGTGTATGAGTGGTATGTAGATGCATCCACACATACCTGTATAGATATTAAGAGGGGATAAATATTTTAATTCTCTTTCTTTCTAGAACACATACATGGGATTTCTGGACTACAGAAAGCAAGCAATTAGAGATCTTGGCATCAGCCCTAGCACCTGCTCCTTTAATCCTGGAGTAATTGTTGCTAACATGACTGAATGGAAGCATCAACGGATTACAAAGCAGTTGGAAAAGTGGATGCAAAGAAACGTGGAGTATGTATAGACGTCTAGCTTTGCACTTTAACATTACTTTTAGAACTCAGTTTACAACCTAATTTTCTGTGGTTTTTTTTTTTTTGTAATGCTTAAAAGTTAGTAACTCTAAACAATCTTTTATTTAGAGATCATAAAGGAAGAAACTCTTGTTCCAGAATTTCCATCTGCTTAAATCTGACCAATCGCATACTGTGGAATGACCACCCGGAATTTTAGTCTTGTGCTTAGTTACAAGCCACACATAATCCTGAGCGACACTGGGAACACAGAGT